TTCTATCTTCTTTCTGCAGATAATCTGACAAGTGTTTTTACCTACTACCTGGCTCCTTGCTTTGAAATTAGCATTTCCTGGTACAGCCATTAAGTCCTTCATTAACGTTGCACAAGATTTCTTTGAGAAGTAATTTTAATTACAGGATTATACATAAATACAAATGTTTTTAACAGCAAACAACAATCGTTCATTAGCTTTCATGATGTCTATAGGTCAAATACCTTCTGATGTTCACAAACACACACTTTGATCTAGGATTATCTAATTACAGGATATATGTAGTGTATATGTAATATGATAGCAAACAATAGGATATAGATAGGTGAAAACAATACAATTAACATCTCCTTTGATCTCAATTAACATGAGTGAATTAGTCTATGCATATTATTACACTTAACATTTCTTTGATATTCATACACAAGTGAATTGCCCTATGGCTTTGGCTTGAGCTGACCTGTCAGTGTCACAATGTCCTAAACCAAATCTTGGTTAAACTGTAGATGAAAAACAGACCAAGCTCATCAAGAACATTTGCAAATACAGACTTTATAGAACAGAGATGAAGTCCTTTCTGGGTTTGGTAGTCTGGCACTGGCAATTCTTTAGCACAGTTCTCCACTTCGCTGTGCTTTTAGTCAAGTTATACTGTGGAGACAAAGAGCTAACAAAATGGAAAACATCCAAGCCCAAAGAGAAGTCTGTGCAAACATTCTGTGATACAGAGTCCTGATTTTCTCTGCAGAATTAGTTACTCAGCTGCTTTAGGAAAAGGTCTAGGAGCAGGTTTGTTACAAGAGCAGTTGGCTGGTTGAATGAAGATGGTGCTGTTATCTGAGCCATGCTGGCTCACTCTCTGCTAAGGGAGAGCATCATAACAAACAACGACAGGTTTCAGAGTAACAGCCATGTTAGTCTGTATTCGCAAAAAGAAAAGGAGTACTTGTGGCACCTTAGAGACTAACCAGTTTATTTGAGCATGAGCTTTTGTGAGCTACAGCTCACTTCATCGGATGCAAACAATGTCACTTTTCTGTCAGCCTTCAGTATGTCAGAAGAAGAACAGACTTCTGGCTAAGGCACAATACTTGGAAGAAGGATAGGTTCCATTCCTGACTCTGCTACAGTCTCTCTCACCTTTGAGAAGTTGTTGGGATTCCCTCCGAAATCTTTTCCACTTGGCTAATCCAGAACACCTCACACAGTTCTGGGAGAATGCTCCATCCAGTTCTCTGGGATCCAAACACTCAGCTCGACTCCAGATCATCACTAAGGTTACTTTATTAGGCATGTAACAGCTCTATGCCCTTGCTGAGCAGGGTTAGGTACAGGGTGATGCCACAATTCCAAATTAGACCCCACACTACACAGTTTATATACTTTTTTCCTAGCTACTAACATCTCTACTTTTTTAATCTAATTGGTTTGGACATCGTATGGATCATGTAAGGACCAATCGCTTTGCACATCATGTAAGGACCAATAACTTATGTTTTCACCTTATCTACATTTCATGTTTATCAATTCACACTGTTCCCACTTATCTCAACTAGACTGAAAACACAACCTCCAGCACACAGTCTGTCACACCTTATTTACAATCTTGTACTCAAATCAAACTATATGCAAGTTTACTCATGCCCAGCAAGATCTATGTCTACACAAGTCAATCTCTCCGTGCTTCACTTGCACAGTCTGTACAATGGAGGATAGTACTTCCCTATTTCACAGAAGTTTGGCTAAAATAGTTTTTTTTTTTTAAAAGCACTAAGATACTTCAGGTTTCAGAGTAACAGCTGTGTTAGTCTGTATTCACAAAAAGAAAAGGAGTACTTGTGGCACCTTAGAGACTAACCAATTTATTTGAGCATGAGCTTTCGTGAGCTACAGCTCACTTCATCGGATAAATTGGTTAGTCTCTAAGGTGCCACAAGTACTCCTTTTCTTTTTAAGATACTTCAATCTCTCTGGACACTCGATTTCTGATCTCAAAGTGACTATCCTTCAACAAAAAAACTTCGAAAACAGACTCCAACAAGAGACTGCTGAATTGGAATTCATTTGCAAATTGGATACAATTAACTTAGGCTTGAATAGAGACTGGGAGTGGTTGAGTCATTATACTAAGTGAAACTATTTCCCCTTGTTTATTCCTTCCCCCCCCCCCAGCCCCCCCCACTGTTCCTCAGACGTTCTTGTTAACTCCTGGAAATGTGCTGGAAATGGCCCATGTTGATTATCACTTCAAAAGGTTTTCTCTCCCCCCACCCCACTCTCCTGCTGGTAATAGCTCATCTTAAATGATCACTCTCCTTACAATGTATATTTTTTCATGGTCTGTGTGTATGCATAAAATCTCCTCACTGTACTTTCCACTTTATGCATCCGATGAAGTGAGCTGTAGCTCACGAAAGCTTATGCTCAAATAAATTGGTTAGTCTCTAAGGTGCCACAAGAACTCCTTTTCTTTTTGCGAATACAGACTAACACGGCTGCTACTCTGTAAACAGAAAGTGTAAAACATCTTGAGCCTACAGAAAAAAGGTTATGATCTTTACCTTGTATGCTTTTACACAAGTGTGAGAAACTTTATTTGCTCAGTAAGAACCACTGATCTTAAAGTTAGGCCATCTAACATCACAGGTCAGAAAGAAAGCAAAATTCCTGCCAAAAGAAGTTGATATCCTGAGACACAAGAGGTTGTGGGCCAAAAGGCCCAGCAATCCAGCAAATCCACCATGTCTGTCTGACCAAGGCAAACCCAAAAAGTGCCCTAGGAAGACTGACTACCTACTATTGACCTAGCTTAAAAATGCTACTATAGCTTTAAGCCTCCTAATTTCCCCCATCTGCATGTGATTCTGAAGCAGCTTGGAGAATTTAAAAATAAAACCACACACCCCCCACACCTCTGACTTATTGTGTGTCCTGCAAAGGTCTAAAAAAATGTAATGCTTGTTCCTTGTGTTGGGATCAGGAGGTTTAATATTCAGCAAGCATATTCCTACAGAGGCAGGGCATGCTTTATAAAGGTCACTGAAAAACCATTTTAAAGCCCAGATCCTAAACAAACAAACTGGTACTGATGCACTCTCACCCATGTACAGTACTAGAAGTTAGAGGTTTGTTTGTTTTTGAACTAGCAGCAAGACTGTGTTGCAAGGATCAGTTTTAAACCATGATGATATAGGTGGATAAAAATCCAGGGATCAGAGTCTACAGTTAAAAAGATGTTACAACTTCTAGGTAAATTCTGATTTTTCACCAAGTTGACAGTGTCAGAAGGGTACAATGAGGGGAGAGGGAAACCAAGAAAAAACTCTTGTCTACAGTTTCAGACCTATGTGCTTAACGCCCAGGTGTGCAGTCATTGCAAATAGGGGCCCATCTCAGTTCCCTCCAGTAACAATTTGGTCCCATTATGACACATGCAATTAAGATGAAAGGTTTCCAGCTTCCAGAGCACATAGGTAAAATCTTCCCCACCTTGCAGTTTGTTTACTGCTAACATGACAGGCGATCGCATCCCATAAAGCCAAATGCCCATCTCACCCCATTAGCACATGTGGAGAGAGTCACACACCTCTGATCTTAATTTAAAAAAAAAAAATAAAAAAACACAGGGCCTAAAGTGCCCGCAGTGAATGGAAACCATCAGCAATGAGATGCTATATGATGAGATGGCACCAGGATGCAATCTTTGTGCAATAGGCATGGTGCTGCATAGTCCAATAGAACAAAGCCATGTATTGGGCAAATGCATCTTTCCACCATCCACTTCATAATAAAATAAACAATCAAACTTGAGTGCTTCAGCATGCGGTACAATTGAAGCACTAGCTGATTATCTAGGTACTTTATAGTTTTAGGAGACCCTTCTCTATAAGCATCTCCATGCCACAGTGATGGGGTATCCTCTAACTAAAAAGATAGACATAAAAACAGAGCACCTGGTCACATGACACAGTCATAGTTCACGCTTCTGTGGCACTCTATAAACATTAAGAACATAAGAACCGCCACACTGGGTCAGACCAGTAGTCCATCTACACAGTAGTCCATCTAGCCCAGTATCCTATCTCCTGACAGTGGCCAATACCAGATGCTTCAAAGGGAATGACCAGAACAGGGCAATCATCAAGTGACCCATCCCAGATGCAGGGAATGGATAGGGGGGACACCCAGAGCATGGGGTAGCATCCTTCACCATCTTAGCTAATAGCCATTGATCCTCCAATATCCTCCGGTCTGGCACTGGCAATTCTTTAGCACAGTTCTCCACTTTGCTGTGCTTTTAGTCAAGTCATACTGTGGAGACAAAGAGCTAACAAAATGGAAAACATCCAAGCCCAAAGAGAAGTCTGCACAAACTTTCTGTGTTATCCAATATCCTCCATGAATTTATTTAATTCTTTTTTAATTCAGTTATAGTTTTTGCCTTCAGAACATCCCCTGGCAAGGAGTTCCACAGGTTGACTGTGCACTGATAAATCTTAACAGCACCACTCCCTGTCCCCCTCTGTAAAGAAGGTAGCAGTCAGTATTGTTGCCTACATTTTATGGCTAGGACAAGCGAGACAGAGAGATAAAGTGATGGGCACGAAGCCACAGAGGCTGAATTAGCAAACCGCACCTCCCGCTCCCCCTGTCCTCCACACTGCCCCTCTGATTTCTGACCCCGCGCTGACACTGACTCCCTACGTGAAGCGGGACATGTCACGGCTCGCAGGAACCCGACCCTCAGATATCTACAACCAGGGCAGCAGCAGGGACCCCCCCCGTATAGCCACCAAGCCGCTCTCAGGAGACACCCGGGACTACAGGGACCGGAGCCAGCGACCCCAGCCAGCGCGCAGGAATCCCGCCGTTAGAAGACACAGCCCCAGGCGCAGCCAGCAAGGCAGACAGCTCCCTACCCAATGCCGGTGCCTTGGAGACGCGCCCCCCATCACCCCAGCCCCCCGCCACGCCCCGTTAGAACACGGAAGCGCACGCACCATGCGTCCGGCGCCCCGTCTCTACGCACGGCGAGTAGGAACGAGCCGGCCCCCCCGGAGCCGCGGCCAGCCCGGCTGGGCTCCGCTAGCGAGGCCCCCACTGCCCCTTCTCTGGTATCCAACTCGGCGTGGGGCTGCAGCAGTTTGAAAGCTCCTGCGCTCTTTGTTTGGTTGTGGGGAGAGCCAGCAAAGGCTGCTGGGAAGGTCCCTGGAGGAGGTTTTACTGCGAGGGGAGGGGCGCAGCTTTAACGCTTTCAGGGACAGCGCTTCTGCGAGGTTCTTCCACCGTTCCCACGCCAGAAACGCGGGGCTCGCTAACCCAGCCGCTGGCCTGGGGCCAGTGCTACATCCAGCAGATGTAGGTGCAAGAAGCCCTTCCGTGGGCAGCTCTGGGGTAATCTGTCCTTCCCCTCCTGGTGTCTCATAGTGAGAGATGGGCGTAAAGCGGATGCATGCAGGCACATACCCTTCCCCCCACCAGTACACCTTTCCTGCTGCAACGCCTGGGGCTTGCTGTCTAATTTGGGGGGAAGTGCTTGGGTTCAGGGCAGGCAATGATACCTTGCCCTTACACAACACCTGATGGTTTCAGATAACAGCATTTTACAAGCACCAGCCAGTTCTGTCAGCAATCTATTATTACCCAATTTTGCAGATGGGGAAGCTGAGACCTTAAACATCTTGCTCCAGGTAACAAAGTGAGTCAGTGGCAGAGGACTAGAACCCAGGAGCCCTGACTACCAGTTTCCCCACCCCACTGTCTTCTAACCTCTAGACAACACTGCTTACCATTGGGTCTGCTAAGGGCAGCATTCCCTCATCAATGGACACAGGACCCTACACCATCAAGAACATAGCTACAAAAGTGAAATGTATAATATAAATAGTAACATACAAAAGCCAGTAGGAGAACACTTCAATCTTCCTGGATATTCTATAACAGATTTAAAAGTAGCTATACTTGAACAAAAAACTTCAGAAACAGACTTCAAAGAGAAACTTCAGAACTAAAATTCATTTGCAAATTTAACACCATTAATTTGGGCTTGAATAGGGACTGGGAGTGGCTGGCTCACTACAAAAACAGCTTTGCCTCTCCTGGAATTGACACCTCCTCATCAATTATTGGGAGTGGACTACACCCACCCTGATCGAATTGGCCCTGTCAACAATGGTTCTCCACTTGTGAGGTATATAATGCTTGCATCTGTAATTTTCACTCCATGCATCTGAAGAAGTGGTTTTTTAACCACGAAAGCTTATGCCCAAATAAATCTGTTAGTCTTTAAGGTGCCACTGGACTCCTTGTAGTGTTTATGTATAATACACACACTAATTGACGCCACTGTGCCCCTGTTATCTCCCATGGCTCCCAATCTGATTATTAACAGAGTAGTTACAGTTAGCTGTATGTAGCAGTTAATTATTATTACTAATTATTACTACTATTTTATTTATTATTACTATAGGATCATAGAAGTGCATGCCACTGCACAGAACAAATCAAAATCCATTCCCTGTCCTGAAGAGATTACAGTCTAGGGCCCCAATTCTAAAAAGCCTCAAACTCTTAACTTTACACAGGACTTCTCACATGCTTAAAGTTAAGCATGACAAGCAAGTCTTTGCAGAATCAGGGCCTCCTGTCAAGAGGAGAACATGAGGAGGAGCTGACAACATTGCAGGGGTGAGTGGTGGGGAAGCACAAGGGAAAGGATAAGATGAATATGCCATCACATGGGAAGCTAAATGTGTCTATAGTGGATAGAGAAGTGGGTTTGGACAAGGGGCTTAAAAGGAGAGAGTTCATAAAAGACCTGATCAGAATCACAGATGCCATAAGAAATGTTGCCCGACGAAAGTAAGATCTGTGTACTATGGCTTCCACCTGCAGACGCTCATGCTACACAATACAAAATTGTTCAGGGTCTCTCCACTGACTTGTATTGTGATTTACACCTATGCAAAGTGAGTGTACAACACTGCCAGTTCAGATTGGTAGTGTTTCATACTCACTTGGCATGTCCAAATGGCAACACAAAGTGCAAAGCAGTGGAGAATCACACCTGTTATGTCCTTGGATGGGAAGGCAATGCTGCAGTGGAGAAAAGAGAAAGGATGCCAAGCTCACTGGAGAGGCTGATCTTCTGATACTCTTGAGGCATAGCAAAAGGTACTAGAAAAGGGGAGGGAATGTTTCATCTGGTGACACTAACATTTTATGTAAAGATGTAATCTGTCTGACTGCATACATGATGCTCTAATAACACTGTGTAGTCTTGTTCATTTGGGGTTTCTGCAGACACATCACTTTAGGTGGCAGTCTCCTTAGTGCTCACAACTTAAGCAGGGGCTTGCTGTGTCAGCAACTGGACTGCAGACCTCCACAGACAATTCAAATGATGCAGAAGGGGAAGTTGATGTCAGGAGGTAGCACTATTCAGTGCTGACCCAATGACATGGCACAGTGCTAAAATGTAAAATCAAAATGAGCTTGGGCAATGTTTCCATCTTTCAGTTTCCCCATCAGTAAAATAGGTATGAGCCTTACCTACCTTTGTAAAGTGCATCAACAAATATAGCTGAAAAGTTCTGTGCAAATGGATACAAGTGGATAAAGTTGGTATCTCCAGTTGTATAGAGCTACTACCACTATCCTGGAGCACAGGGTCAGTACTAACAGGGAAGCGGCCTCTTACTGAATAACTTGAGAAAGCCCATTTTGATTTTACAAGACAGTAATGGTGCTTGATAGGTTCAGCTGAACTGTGGCAAAGAATAGCTTGTCCACATATGCAGTGGTGCTGGAACAATTTTTATAATGGGGGTGCTCTAGGTGGGAACCATATATTTGGGTTGTTATTACTACTTCAAGCCAGGGGGTGAGGTAGCACCCCCAGCACCTGTACTTCCAGCACCTAGACAAAGAAGGGAATAGTGGTGAGTGTTGTACTCATGTAACCCTTCTGCCAGGTGGAGCCAGCAGCAACAAGGGCCGGGTTCAGTATCTAGGGGTTCCGTTTCAACAATACAACACAAAACCGGCTTGAGCCCCCACCCAGTGACCTGGGACAATTACACACCACCCCATGGGCACCTCTAAGAGGCAATACTTCCCCTCTCACAAGCACAGCATCTGAGTAGAGCAAAAGCTTTTAATAAAAGGAGGGAAGTAACTCAGCATTAATTTGGGAAAACACTGCAACTAGGGTTCATAAACACAAACCATGAGCAAAAGATCCACCCCCAAGTAAGTTGAGCAGTGTCCTTTTCCCCTCAGGATCTTAAGTCCAGCAGCCCAAAAGTCCCTTTGACGTGCCTGTCCCTTCTCTGTACCACACTCACGGTTGCGGTTCTTGGCCAGTGCAGCCCCAGAGTTCAGAGGTTCAACTGAAGAGTTCACCTCCCACCCTGTGTGGAGGGGGGGGAGAGTAAGGAGGCACCTTACATGCTCCACTGCTCAGGGACTCACTTGTCACCCCAACAGCCAAGCCTCTGCAGGGCACTGCTCTGGTCTTCCCCACCAGCCTCCCCACTGGCCGCTTGCCACGGCTCTCTGCCAGCTGCCTGGATGGCTACTCACCAAGATGGTTTCAGGGCCCCCCACCACTTAACACAGCTTTCAGCTGTTAATGGAGAGAGCCTCACTGTTGGTGCACACTGCGCAATCTCTTGAGACACTGTCCCAAAGTAGGTCTAATACTTAGACCTAGGTATCAGTGATTTCAGCTCTGCAGCATGCAACAAGACTCTCAATTAAATCTAAATGTGCTCTTTTATTATACCATGGAGATGAGATGGGTCAAATAGTGCCTGGGGCCCACACCACTAGGTACAAGTACCCATCCCCACCCTCTCTCAACTCACTGGGCTTTGGAACCTATGTTCCCTGCCTAGCAAGTGCCGTTGCATTGAGGGTGAGTCCCTCCATCGGGATATGCCAGGTATAGTTCTGCTGCCCTTGGTTCACACAACAAGGATAACCCTTTATTACTCCTGCCCCAATAACAAGGAGACTGGGGATCCAACACCAGCTACAAGTGATCATTTGGGCAAGCAATCCCATCATGCTGAGCACCTAGGCAGGGTGGGTGTGTCCATGCAAACGAGATCAGCTTCTGAAGTCTTTTTCCATAGCTCACCACTAGATGTCAGGGGAGAGCTCGTTCAGACTCTGCTTACATCCTCCCCGCAGCCATGAATTTGTCGTCCGGACAAATCACACTCCATATTATACCAAATTCATTAGTTCCCCCCAAAGGGCCTCAGGAAACCTACTATGGCTTACACAAGCCTGTGAACTAAGTGTATTGGTTCTTCACTTGCCATCCCAGGTGCATCATAAGTTAACCGGCTTACTGGCCTTATAACCCTGTCCCGCCTATTGAGACTGAGCATTGCAGAGGCAGGGAGGATATCTTCTTGGGCAAGGGATGGTGAGGGTTCCTTTGAGGATCCCTCAACTACTGGCATAGGCCCCTGCATCTCTGATTCTAATAGTGGAAGGCCCAAGGCATCCAGGACACCTTAGGGACACCTTAGGGTTAGGTTTTAGGGCTGAAGAAGTGGTGCTCTCCCTCAGTTCAGCTGATTGAGACTGAAATCTCATTTCCATTCAAGGATACACCATGGTAGTGTCTTCCTCCTCAGACTCACTTTCAGATGTGCTGAGTAGGGGTAGATTAGCCACAGAGGGCCCACTGTCCATGTTGGATGGTGGCTTTGGTCTAACATGTTTGTTCTGCCCAGTTGCCATGTTGTGGTCCACTTCATAAGGGGGGTCTACCAACTCCCCCACAGGGACTATGTACAGTCTGTATTTGCCCTGACCCTACTTCAGGATTAATCTTGTAGACCAGCAGATCTCCCAGTTTTTTCACCCCCTGGTAAGGTATTGCTTTCCATCTGATGGCTATCTTGAGTTTGCCAGCAATACCCACATTTTGTAGCAGAACTCTATCCCCTGGATGGAGCTCCTGTGAACACACCCTAGCATCATACCGATGCTTGTTACGGTCTGAGTTTTTCCAAGCTGCAGACATAGCTAAGCGATAAGTATCCCGTAGCTTTTCTCTTAGTTGGGATACATACTGCTGATGAGTCTCATGGCTATCTCCATCCTCTGATATGCCAAAGCACAAGTCTATGGGTAATCTTGGTTCTCGCCCAAACATCAAGAGATATGGGGTGATTCCCGTAGCATGGTTCTTTGTGGTGTTGTAGGCATGCACCAAAAACGCAACATGCTGGCTCCAGGTTG